TAGGGTTTAGGGTTTATAGGGCGTAGGGTTTAGGGTTTAGGGTTTGGGGTTTATAGGGCTTAGGGTTTAGGGTTTAGGGTTTATAGGGCTTAGGGTTTAGGGTTTAGGGTTTAGGGTTTAGGGCCTTCCAGCTCTAGGAAGTATGGGAGCAGCTGCGTGTCGTAGCCCTCCAAGTCAGAGACAAAGACATCCACCTGCTACATGCAGGATTGAATGCTCAGGTCTGCCTTTGGCAACCGAAAGAAAACATCCCAAATATGAAAGAAGTAGTTAGCACGGTTGTTTGATCACATGCTTTGTTACGCTGAGTAGGTTCCAGAATCTCGGCCCAATTGCAGAAAGTTCCACCTCCGCGGGGTCGAGGCCCACCTCTTGCAGCAAACCATTTGCCGTCCGACACCTCACAGAAGTCTGGTCGATGTAGGCCTCCACTAGCTCGGGCCTCTCTAGGAAGTCCTCTGCGTGCGCGAAGCGCATGATAAGGTCGATGACGTGCAGCCGGGAGAGAGAGCTAATCCTGGCGATCATGCTTCGGGGAATCTCGTACTTCGGGAAGTCCCGGTAGATTCGCTCAGAGACCGTGTAGAAGACCACTTCGGAGCGCTCCTCGGAGCAAAGCGCGGCCTCCAAAAACTGCACTGGACTGTGGAGGTGCCCTAGAAAGAGCCGCACTCGCTCCTGCAGCCGCCGTAAGACGGCGGGCTGGGGTTCCACGAAGACCAGGCGCAGCGAATCCTGGGTGTGCCTCTTCAAGTCAAAGTACCACTCCAACTCATAGTCATTTAGGTCGTTGGTGCCGATGTGCAGCACTGTCAGTGGCCGGGGTATCCGTCGTGAGTAGTGAACCAATGTGTTGAAGTGATCGCCAACGGCCTCCCTACTCATTTTGATCCGTGGAGGTAGAGCGCGGCAAGTCTCATTGCGGAACCTGCACTTGGAATAAGGCCGGCAAAGTACTGACCGCTCTGAAACTGCTGTGAATAAGGCCAGCAAGCAATTGGCAAAGCGAAGCACCATGCCAATTCAAGATGCCTCTGGCCGGATCACGCAAGTAAAGGTCCATCGAACAACCAGGATCTCAGCACATCGACGTAACAGCTGCCTCGGGACATTCCCTTCACCCTTCCCGCAGCAAATTCACAGGTGTGCGTCCCATGTTGCGGCTGACCATCGCTTGCCTATCATCAGCTTAGGTAGTTGATGCGATTATATGTGGGTAGTTCTCTAAATTAGGGTCGCCTTTTAGGTCCCCAATATAGTACGGCACCCTTATCACAAGGACCCTAAAAGGCACCCTTATTTAGAAAGCTACCCATGTGAGGATCTGCAGAGTTGCAAGAACCCAGGGTTGTTTTGCTGATTGTTTTGGCTGCGCTGAGGGCTTGATGGAAAAAGCACAGCGCAATGTGTATGAACACTTGTAGATGCCGTGGAAAAAATCTTACGGACCAATTGAGCCACCCAATAAACCCCTTGTAAGAACCTTAAACACTGAACCCTGAACCCTGAAATCCTCATGTAGGGGCCTTAGTGATTAGAATAAGGTTTTGGGGCCCATTATACTATAATTATAATAGGGAACCCCAAAGGAGTACAGGTAACTATTTAGGCTTCTATATTAGCCAAAGCAAGTGAAGAAGTGGACGAATCGAGTTTCATGG